TCTGTAAACCGCTTAGAGAGGCCTGAAAGGCCTATGAAGCGGTATATAAGTCTACTGCTATTGCTATTGCTAAAATGTTGGCATGCTTAAAGTATGGTTCTCAAATTTTCCACCCATTCCCTCCAACAGAGTTTTTGGAGAGGAAATGAAATTAAGGGACACACTTCATATACCTCTTTGGACTCTTTGAGAAAAGCCAGATTAGAATATATATACTATATATTTCTTACTCATTCATTGGCCTAGAATAACATAAGAGTAAGAATGATAAGGAAAGGCTGAATTTACTATGAGCATGCAAATATGGCTTGTGATTTGATTTGAACATTCAATATGATCTGAATCTGCAGTGGGATAATGCAGTTTAAAAAGTTGAATCAAATCTATCAAAGGTACAGAAAAATAAAATGTATATTTGCATGCACAGAAATCTGATTTTTTTTCCAAGTCAATTCAAATATCTGATTCAATTCAATCCAATGGTCAAATGACCTTCAATTCTAACATCTGACCTGAAGCTGTAATGCTATTTATGGCATTTTATTGTAATTAACAATATTATACCTGTTGGAGCAATGATCATTACTGAGTTGTACTCTAAAGTCCAAATAGAGTTTAGGTATTTTAGAACACAAACATGCGATGTTAATTTTTTTTATAGTATTTGGATTCTGTTAATTTGGAATCATTGTTAAGATAAGGTAGTGAAAATGTGGGTTCTATAATTATGGTTTATAAGAAGACTTTTTCAAATAAGTCTTGAAAACAGTTTAATTATTCTGTGGTTCATTTAAACAAAACTTGCATATGGATTATTAAAACTGAACTGAAATGAGATTAAAAGAATATATATAAGTTAATTTTAGTCTGAATAGTCTGAATTTTACTGGAATAAAATGCAGACACATGCACCCTCCACCAAAAACACGTACCTGGAACGCCACTTTTGCTAAAACTTCTAGAATCCTCCTGCTGCTGATATTTTGTTCAAGCAGATAACTACGACAAATCTAGAAATATGAAATTTCATGTTGAATTATAGGCACTTAGAGAAGGAGGTGGGTATTAAAAAAAAACCTAGGCATTTTCAAAATAATTTGAATGTTTGGTGAAACTTTATTACAATTAAGTCAAAGCTGCTCAAAATTAATGAAATCCCATGAAGTTGTGTTGAAAACAGCCATTAGCACAACCCACACAAATCGGATGGATTACAACCCAACAGAAAATTTTGTTTGCTCCTTAAGCCGGTTTATGGAAATGAAAATGAAAATTAAGTGACTGAATTTAATTCACCTTAATTGCATCTGCTAAAGAAGGCCGGTCTTCTGCCTTGCTTCTTGCCATACTCAGAAGAAAATGTTTCAGTTTCCCTGGCAACACCAATTTGTGATCGGGTGGGAAATTGCTTCTTGCTGCTCTCCACAAAATTGCAGCCATACAGTAAATACAGGCCTGTGGGAAATGGCACAGTGGAAAGTCAGCTTAGTCACCTAGTAAGCCTCCCTTTATCTTCTCCTTGTTCTTGAATGCACATGGTTGAACATCCAAATCAACATCAAACCGGGGTGTTTGTTAAAACCATAACTGTCTTAACCATTCTCAGTCATCCATGTCGTGGATGTCCCAAGGATGCTTTTTCAAAAGGTAACAGGACTTTTGTAATTCCCTGAAGATCTTTTGCTTCTCATCCAAGAAGCACGTCAAAGCTGAAGACTCGTCTTAGATGAGAACCGAAACGTCTTCAAGGAAAAACAAAGTCTCTTGTGCCTTTTGAAAAGCACCTTTGGATTCAGATCAAGTAAACAATTGATGTCTAAGGATGTCTTGGGCTGACACAAGTAAGTGTAATAATGGACTTTCCTTTATCACCCAACCAAGTCATAAAGATCTATTAATGAACTGATCTCCAAATAAACCATTCAAGGATTGTAATATGGAGATAAAGCTGAAAATGGGCATTCTTGCCTTTCAGGGCTTGACATTAAGGAAGCTCGTTACACGAAGCTCATCCTTATCAATACTTGATAAGCTCTCCAATTACTGGAGGAATATGTGGGTGTTTGATATCCAATGATTGATCCAAAGAATCTGAACAATCCTGTGTATATCAAGTAGGAAAAAAAATGGCAAAAATGGGATAAAGGTCAAATTGTGTAAATGCCAGCCTCACCAATTAAATTCCACAAATCACATAAAATAAGACTTTTGGATTGAGAGTGACCACAGAGACTCGTGCAAGTGTGATGGTTCTGTACCTCCTCCTTCTTCGTACACCCACGTGAATTAGGGAGGTATCTGTTCGAGCCACTTTGCCGTTGCTTGTTTTGGACTTAAGCCATGATTTTCTCCTTTGTCACTTTGGTAACGGATTTGACCTAACTCTGACAAAGTCATCATCTTTAACTGTTTACTTTAAGTTAATGTTCCAATTCCTGAGACGCATCTCTGGTCCCTTAGCTCACTCTTAACATTCTTTTAAGACGTCTCTCTGTAGCTATATTGTTTTAACATTCCCACATAATTTATGGCTGACTTATTAATTTTTTTCTCAGCATTAATTTTTATTCCTTTCATTTCATTCCACTCCTTCCCATACTGGCCTCCTTCATAGCCACTTTCCACAGATGTTTAAATCTTAATTATTTCTGGTGTTTGTCAACTATATTATTTGCAACTACGTTTTTCTTCTCTGTAGATGTGAATGAAGTTGGATGAAAAACAAGGCCATCGATCTCATAAATTACCAGCAAATAGCAAAGACATACGTACTAGCGTGCAATTTATCTTCCGTGTTGCAGTGGTAGGTTCCTATCGGTTCGAACTGGTTCAGCCGAGTGGGTAGTAACTTGGCCGCCCCCGCCCCCCGAACTGGTTTTATCGGCGACACCGTAGACAGCGCCATCTTGCTTTTTGCTTCTGCGCATAAGCAATTTTTTTCACTATGCGCACATAGCGCGATTCAAGCATGCATGTGCCCGAAGCATGCGCACGCCCGAAGCCCCTCCATGAGTGAACCAGTAGTAAAAGAATCTGGAACCCACCTCTATATGTATGTATTTTATAATTAAGGCCTCTAAGCAGAACCTCCACTTACAGATAGTATAAACCTGGATAGAATTTGTCTTGGAGTATAGCCCTTTTTAAAGACGGATCTTCATTAACATATAACACAAAGATCGTATATTTTAATACCTTTTCAGTAACAAAGCCCTCTTCTGCTGTCTCAGGTGCCAAGTAAAACCCATCCAATGATTCTAAAAATAAACAAAACGCAATAAGCACTTTTAATTTTGGAAACCAAATGAAATGAAACTTAGAAATATTTACAGCGGCATGCATTTTACCTTCGTTTCCACATGAAGCAAAAGAAATCCTTCCATCAGGATTGATTACTACGGAATCCAAACATAAATACGCTGAAAAATAGACGATAACATTATCAATATTAACAAGGCTTATAATATCACCGACATCCATTTTGATTATTTGGTTACAAGACAGAATAATTAAATTATGAAATGTTGAATTCTGACAGACTAAAGTAGGCTGATAACTGGCCATAGGTCCATTAGAAGCTTATGCAGCCATTAAGACAGTGGTTCCCAAACTTGGCAACTTTAAGACTTGTGGACTTCAACTCCCAGAATTCCCCAGCCAGCTCTGCTCTGCTGGCTGGAGAATTCTGGGAGTTGAAGTCCACAAGTCTTAAAGTTGCCAAGTTTGGGAACCACTGAGGTAGGGGATCCTGGCCTGCCTCACCATATCAATTCTGGGAGTTGAAGTCCACA